TATGCGTGGGGGCTGGCGGTGCTGCAGGGCTTCTTCGCCCCCACCAACCTTCCCCCCACCTCTCCAGGCTCTTCGAGTACCGGGGCCGAGTCTCTCCGGTGCCCAGGGTGGTTCCTGTGAAGCGGCCGCGGGTCACCATCCCCCTCGTCCGGCGCGTGAAGGCGACGCTACCCGTCAAGCTCTTCGCCAGATCCGCCGCCATCGCCAACAGCTCGGCCAAGTTGAAGCGTGAGTGTGTGCGCGGGGTGCAGCGGGACGGTGCGGAGACCAGCGTGCACCTGGACCTCCCATCCCCACGGGTTCACCCACAGGGCCAGATGCTCCCAGGGGAAACCTTAAAAAACCCAAAACATCTGGGAACAACAGCCCGAGCAAGGGCTGTCCAGAAGCCCGCAGGCTGTGAACGCAGCAGAGGAAGGTGCACGCACAACCCAGACGTGCCAAATCAAATCTCCCTTTGGAGAGGGACTTTTTACAAGGGTGTGTAGTGACAGGACAAGGGACAATGGATTTAAACTGAAAGAGGGGAGATTTTGATTAGATATAAGGAGGAAATTTTTCACTGTGAGGGTGGTGAGGCGCTGGAACAGGTTGCCCAGAGAAGCTGTGGCTGCCCCATCCCTGGCAGTGTTCAAGGCCAGGTTGGATGAGGCTTTGGGCAACCTGGTGTAGTGGAGGGTGTCCCTGCCCATGGCAGGGGGGTTGGAACCAGATGATCTTTGAGGTCCCTTCCAACCCAAACCATTCTACGGTTCTATGATTCTATGAAATCCTGGTGTCAGCCTCCACGACGTGCCCGGACCACGGACACACAGGTGTTTTGGGTGCACGCACCCACCCGCAGCCTCCCCAGCTTTCCCTGCCGGTGCCCTAACAGGCACCAAGGCAGCGAGGGCTGGCAGTGAAGGAGTGCGTGTTGCTGCCCCGTGCAGAGCCGGCCCCTCCTCGCCTGCCCACCGAGCCCCCGTGAGCGGTGCAGGACACCCAGCACACCCCTCCCAGCAGCTCCTTCCCACGTGGACAAGCTCAGCTACGCTGTGCAACGAGGTGTGAGCATCACCCCGGGGATGCAAGGAGCGTGTTTCTAGTGTGAGGTTTCTAGTTGGCTTTTTGACGGGCTCGGCAAGGTGACTTGGGCCAGGGGGAGGGCTGGGACAGACACCTGGGGCGCTCTGCAGGGCACTAAATGCCTTTTTTTTTTTCCCTTCGTTCCTCCCAAGTGAAGTGCAGCGAGCTGCAAACAATCAAAACTGAGCTGACGCAGATCAAATCCAACATTGATGCGCTCCTGGGCCGGCTGGAGCAGATCGCTGAGGAGCAGAAGCTGTCTGCAGGTCGGTCGGGTGCCCGCGGGGGCCTCGGGGC